GGGGACAGGCCCGGCCGGGCTGGAGTGCCAGCGCCGCTGACCTCTCCTCCTCCACGCTCCTATCCCGCGCCTCCAGGTGCAGAAAAAGGAGAAGAAGGACAAGGAGCGGGAAAATGAGAAGGAAAAGAGCGCCCTGGCCCGCGAGCGCAGCCTCAAGAAGCGCCAATCGCTGCCAGCGTCTGTGAGACCCAGGCTCTCTACCGGGGCTGAGCACAGGTGGGCGGGGCTCCGCGCCTCCCCTAGCCATTCTCTCTGTCAATCATTCCCAAGTACTTGAAATTACTAAAGCTCAGCTTTTCTGTTTTCTTGTCCCTGTTTCTCCCTTTCTCTTCCTCCCCCGCCCTGCTTCTTTTTCTTTTCTTTTCTTTTTCTTTTTCTTTTTTTTTTTTTGAGACAGAGGCTCCAACTCCTGAGCTCCCAGACTCTTACCTACATGAGCTCAATACTGGGAATATGGGAATAGAACCCCAGCCTCCTGCGTGCTAGGCAAGCACCCCATCACTGAGCTATATATATCCCCAGTCCCTTTTTAGTTAGTTAGTTAGTTAAAGACATTTCACTAAGTTGCCAAGCCTTGAACTTGTGATTCATTTAAAGTAGCTGGGGTTGTAACAGACCTGTGCCGGTGTGTATGCATGTGTAGGTCACCGGACAGCTCTTGGAAATCAGTTCTCACTCAACTATGTAGGTTCCAAGGATTAAACTCATATTGTCAGGCTTGGTGGCACGCACCTTTACTTGCTGAGCCATCTCACTGGTCCCTTTTTGTTGTTTATTGAGCAAGCATGTCCTGTGTCGTAGACTGACCTTTAATTAGCTCTTTAGCCAATGATGATCTTGGATTTATGATCCTTCTGCATCCACCTCTCAAGCGCTGGCATTACAGGGCTGTGTGTATGCTCTGCAAGCATTCTACTGACTGAAACTGCATCTCTAGCCCTTGGTTTTTTGTTGTTAGTTTTTATGAGGCAGGGTCTACTTATGTAGTTCAGGATGCCCTTGGAACTAATCGTTCAGCCTAGGCTGGCCACGAACTCCTGGCTGTCTGCCTGCCCTGCACTTTCACTTTTTCTCCTTTCTTTCCTTCATCCTTTACCTCCCCTTTTTCTCTCTTTCATTTTTTGATATGGACACCCCCATCCCCAGCTCCTAAAACAGTAACACCTGATAAGCAACTCAGTACATACTTAATCAGTGAACAACTTAACTCTGTGGTGTTCTGGGTGCTGAGGACCCTAGGCTAAACCAGACCTACTTTTTGCTCTGCTAAGTGTACATGCTGTTGGAGAGGCAGACGTCAATCAAGAATTCTCACAAATGAATTTGCAATTGCAAACTGGGATATATACACGGAGAGGAGATGATAACACTTTGTGAGTGAATAGGAGGTGATGCAACCCAGCCTGAAAAGGTAACACTGGAGGCTGGTAAGATGCTGCAATGAAGCCGGGCGTTGGTGGCGCACGCCTTTAATCCCAGCACTCGGGAGGCAGAGGCAGTCGGATCTCTGTGAGTTTGAGTCCAGCCTGGTCTACAGAGTGAGTTCCAGGACAGGCTCCAAAGCAACAGAGAAACCCTGGCTTGAAAAACCAAAAGGAAAAAAATATAAAGAAAAAGAAAAACATTCCTTTATTCAATGAGTAAAGGTCTTTGCTATGACCCAAGTTAAATCCCTGGAATCCATGGAAAGATCGAAAGAAAGAACCACCTCACAAAGTTGCCTTCTGACTTCTACATGCATGCTCACACATGCACAACCTACACAATAATAACATAATTTTTTTTAAAGGAACTACTCCAAAGAAATGACATGGGGGGTGCCTGCCCAGGCGCTCAGCCCTCCGGTTCTAACCCCTTTCTTCTTTCTTAGCCCTAAGTCCAAGGCCCGGCCATCCTCTCCCTCTACAACCTGGCACAGACCTGCCTCCCCCTGCCCCAGTCCAGGACCAGGCCATGCCCTTCCTCCAAAACCACCATCCCCCCGAGGCACCACTGCATCGCCCAAGGGGCGGGTTCGGAGGAAGGAGGAGGCAAAAGAGAGCCCGAGCCCATCAGGGCCTGAGGACAAGAACCACAGCAAGAGCAGAACCATTGAGGAGAAGGAGCCAGTGGCCCTAGTGTCACCAGCGCCCTCACCGGTGCCCTCACCCACCCCAGCCCAGCCTCAGAAAGAGCAGCCCTCAACAGAGACTCCTGCAGGTGCACAGGAAGTGAGGGTGGGCAGGGCAGAGGTGCCATTTTTTGCTGTGTCTGGGAAGTGACCCTCCACAGACATTGGTGTTGAGGGACAAGAAGAGGGATCTTCTGCCCATAACGGGGCCAAGTCTCAGGCACAGTGGTGGCAGCAATTGGGCTGAATGGGTGGGTCCTGAAAGCATACGGGTGTGTAGGGGTGTTGGAGGTGCCTGTACCGGCGTGTGCCAACTCCTGGTCTTGGATCTTCCTCCAGACACCGCTGTCCCGACTGCCCCTCCTACTGCTGCTCCCCCGGTAACCCCTAGCAAACCTATGGCGGGAACCACAGACCGAGAAGAAGCCACCCGGCTCCTGGCTGAGAAGCGGCGCCAGGCTCGGGAACAGAGGGAACGCGAAGAACAGGAGCGGAAACTGCAGGCCGAAAGGGACAAGTGAGTGTGACCTCATGGACTGTGGGGGCCCTTGTAGCCAAGCCTGGAAGAGGCGCACACCAAACTTGAGTTTTCTGGGTCCTCCAGGCGAATGCGGGAGGAGCAGCTGGCACGGGAG